CAGGCTCATCCATCACATTAATTATTATATATTAATTTAATGTTAATAAGGTAACAAAAAATAATAAAGATACACGAGTTTTATTTTTATCTCTTACTTACGAATGGTCCTACTTAGGCTAGGGCGCCATGGAAAAATTTTAATTGAAAAATGACGCCGCGACTAGGAAAAGTTTGGGAACCACTGATTTAGGCGTTTTTGACCCCTCATATTTATGTCCACAGACGGCCTTTCCCTGGGGTCATGTGTCTGTCTCCTTCCATTGTAATCGTCTTTTGACTTTACTTTGTCCTTCAGGATTCTCCTTCTGGCAATGCTTCACTATACTGTTCTAGTGATGTCCTCACTTCTCTTTGCTATTCATGCTGAATCCTGAATCTTTCTTAGTTCACCTAAACAGTGGGCAAAATTCTCCCTGACTCTTACCTCTTCAAAGCTGCTGTTCTTTAAGTGCTAGTTCCACCTTGCTATCACAACTTGTTCGGAGCGTCAGGGAGACCTTGTGGGACGTACCTAGTCCAGTGTCCTCTACCATAGTATTCATGATTTCCAGCATTGAACCATTGGCTGGATACATTCTCAAACGTTTCGCCGGCATCGTCAGTGAGAGGTGCCATCGTAAGCACAAGATTACAACTTATAAAAGTGACAAGTTAAGGCAATATCCTTGACTGATTTGTCACTGTGATTACGATTACGCCTCTTACTGACGATGCCGATTAAACGTCTGAGAATGTTCCCAGCCAATACTCCAATGCTGGGAATCACGAAAATAATGGTAGAGGATACGGTACTAGGTACGTTTCATAAGGTCTCCCTGACGCACCGATCAAGTTGCGATAATAAGACAGAACCAACATTATAAAGCTAAAGGATACTGCGACCAAACAGCAGGCCATACCATCTTATTCTTCATATCTGCTGTTCTTTAAGTTGCGTCGTACAAAGATGCATAAGAAGTTGTTTGACTGTTTTCACAACTTAGTCATATTGGTCGGAAGGCCTAGAGGAATGCACCTAGTCCGGAGTTCATAGTATGTATGATAATTTCCAGTCGGACCGTTGACATGGTACATTCTCAGGCGTTTCGCCGATATCATAGTTGGCATCGTCAGTGAGCTCTACCACTTTTAGCACTACACTAAAACTCGTCAAAGAGACAAGTGAATCCGATCCTTTGACTAATTGTCTGCTAAACAATTGTGATGGGCTATCCACCAATCCTATATACTCGTATCATCCCTTCACTATCACAATCTCTTATTTAAATGTGGCATGGTGTGTCCTATTTTAGCGGATTTCATGAGAATTCTCCAAACCTCACGCTTGCTTTCTCACCCCTCACTCCGCAATCCTCTTCCCATAGGTCTAATCAGAGTCACCCTCTTGCCCCGTAGGATCCGCCTCCTACCTTGCTGTTTCAGGTATTTCATTCGACCCTTGCTATCCTATCTGTACTAGTCAAAGCGTTATTTCCCACATTATCCCAAGCCTTTGATGGCACGCATACTCCAGCCTCGCTGAAGTAGGCACCTAAAACTCAGGATTCTTAAGCTAGCTGTATGGGAAACTAATTTGAGGCTAAAGATCTCGAGTAATTCTCATACTCAAGCCTTTGCTTCATGGACTATGTCTATGATCAAACACGTCTACTGTTAGACAACTAGCTCTAGTCTCCGCCGCATCTATCGTGCTTCTATTCATAGTGCAAAGTCTATGACTTCCTATGTCCTAGTCTCTTGTGTGCCAACCCACAAATGTTATAGTTCTACTTGTTTTGATTAGGTTCAATGTAGAACCGCAACATTTGTGCATTAGTATACAAGTGACTAGGGAATATGAATTCATAGACTTTGCACTATGGATAGAAGCACGATAGATGCGGCGGAGACTACAGCTAATTGGCTAACAGTAGACGTCTTTGATCATAGACGTGGTCCATGAAGCAAAGGTCTGATCATGAGAATTACTCGGGCTTTTTAGCCTTAAGTTAGTCTCCCATCTAGCTTGAGAATCCTGATTTTTAGGGGCCTTATCAGCGAGGCGGGAATATGCGTGTTATAAAAGGATTAAGATGGACTTCAGACTAGGTACGTTCCTCTAAGTCTTCCTACCATTATGACCAGATTGTGAAAACGAGGTCAAACAACTTCTATATAACGAAAGGAAACTGAAATCATACAAAGACCGCACTGTCTTTCTCTCGTCTAGCTGGTCTTGATGGCCGTCTCCTCATACTAAAGTATTCTGATTTTTTTAACATGCATATTGATGTGTTCTAATTCGATTTTCCACTTAACTCGCCTTTACTATATCATTTCCTTTTCGGCAGTCAGACTGGCGCTGCCCTCGCCTTCGCCTTATTTCTCCACTTCTGGCCAACCTAGTAGCTCCATCTTGGCCCAAATTCATACGTGGCCAGAGGCGAATCTGATCACTACATCTTCTGCCCCTGTTGGCCTTTATCAGATATCCCCTGTAAATTCCAGTTCCCGTAGCTACACCATTTCGTCTGAAGGAGCAAAGGCAGCTCCACAAACTCTATCCATCGTCGATTTCCCCAATTGGACCAGCACTGAAGTGGTTGACTGGCTTTCTCAACACAAGCTTTCCTCATTCTTGCCTCGTCTAGCTGGTCTTGATGGCCGTCTCCTCGTTGAGTTAGTTTATCTTCGCCTTCATGCCCCGGAAGGCCTGATGACCATTTTGTCTTCCGACCTCGGCATGGGCCTCATTGATCGCTTGCGTTTGCTCGCTGCTCTTGCCGATCTCGCGAAATAATTTTGGAACGCCTCCGCATTTAAGCATCCTCAGATCTGCCTTCTGACGTATTCACACCTACATCGCACGGGCTTAAAAGATTAACAGCTTCTTTTCTCATTTTTTTGACAAATCCAGACTTAAATGCATGCATACTTTTTCTTGAAACGATTTCGCTCTAGTTAACTCGGTGCTTTCTGCATTTGCTTTCGCAAACGATTTCTTACCGGTTTTCAGTTTAACCAAAAATCCAATTAATCGTTTTTTATTCATTTTATTCTCTCATACGGTGCATCTGGCCGCGAAAAGCCCATAGAAAGCGCCAATTATTTACATCCGCCAAGATGCGCTAGCGACTAATTGTGTGGCTCTTTTAATCAAAGTTTAACCAACATTTTATCTCTTAAAAATGCATGGATCGATCATACCAGAATATGATCTATTATTAAACTCGATCCACGCATTTTCTAATTTTTACAGCCTATCGAAGATTATGTCAAAAACCTAATCGTTATGGTTTAGCTTATACTGTGCAATGTAGATGCCCAAACACAATCAGAGTTTGTTAGTAATTCGTCATGGCTAATTTATTGAGGCTGGGGGTTAAACTCATCTAGCCATTATTAACTGACTATCGCGTTAAATTTGCTACGATAGAAAGTTTAAGTGGTGCTCTTCATTGTCATCTTTCCCAACTCTATTTTTAACATCTACTTCATTTTGGACAACTGTTCATTTTGCCCCTTTGGGGATTTTCCCCCTTTTTAACCCTGCTACAAAATGCTTGACATTACCTGTGCGATCTATTTACATGTATCGTATTTGTATTTCATGCAATCACACTCTTCAATTGAGCATGATAGCATTTATTAAAGGTAACCACTTATCCAGGTGATCTGATTAATTCTATGGTCATGGTATCGAAGTCAACGACTTCGTTGTTCCATATTTTTACATCTTGTTTTTCATAACGATCCTTTACAATCGAATTACCATTAGATTTGTAGAAAATTCCTTCCACAAAACCAACTGTAATATATTTTTTGTAAGCCATCCCTGTATTTTTATATATTTTTACATGTATTGTTTACACTTGATTTTCATCCTACCACTAAATAAATAGCTATAAGCCTACGGTACAATTTTTATTTAATTAACCTAGCTCACATGCCTAATTTCTAAGCTCTAAGGATGAAGTAAAGCTTAGCAAGGATATTTATTTTTCTCCCATAAACTGGCTATGAGCATCTTCACACAGCATCTTTCATTGATAAAGGCCAGAATTTACCCGTATTTATTGAAGGGTACAGTTAAAGGGCTTTTTTTGGGCATCCAAATTAGCTCCAGAATTTCATACCTTGAGCGCCAATGCTGTCTAATTGAGACAAACTGATATATGTAGCGAAATTCTTCCTCTGTCAGGCATTTCTCAATCTGAGCCTTATGCAATGCTGGACTCTCTGGTACCATCCGAAACGACCTTGCTGAGCTGACTTGAATTTCGTGTGATAGTTTGACAAGGTGACAGATCGATCAAACTATTAGACGACAGCAGTAGTCTGCAGTATAGTTTTATTTTACTCAGACATCCAGGTTGTCGGGCCGACCAGGCAAAACCCAGAAACTTTTCCCAGTTGCCTCATGAATATTCTGCGTTCTATCCACGAGCCTGATCTTATTTCATGGAATGGATATCTTCCTATCAGATCGAATTTAAAGTAGGGCTGTGTGAACCGCTTTCATTAACCGGCGGTGGCTGAACGATGGCCTCAGGGAGGCTGGCTCACCAATTTTAATTAGTCAGCTGTGCGTAGTCCTGGTCTCTGCCCGTGCATTCGATCTTCCTATATATTCGATTAACACAGCTGCGATTTTCTGTATGCATCACCAGTTAAGAGCAAGAAATCGCCCTCAGAACAAAGATTATTCTATAGTTCGCATCACTCGCACGATGGTCGAATGCATATCTAAGCTTTGCCAACTATATTATTGTGCTTTTGTGTGTATACTCTAAACAGATCTGCTCTTACTGATGCCCATCGACCAGTCCAGAAGATTCTTGGTGGGTCGAAAGCTTGACTGGCTGTGTTGATGGGCTCTTAGGATTTCAACATGAATGCGTACTGAAGACTACCTGGATTAACTTCTATTGTACATGAAATGAGATGTTGAAGTGGTGGAACTAAAACCAGAACTAGATTAAGCAATCTGCATGTTTTGAGTTGCTCGAAACACCCTTTGCATAACTTAAACCAATAATGGCACTTAATCAGTTGGCTTCAACAGTATCAAGTTTTGCGCCTATTCGCAGATATATTGTAATGAGCAAAATGATGAAATTTGATTCAATTTATCTCATCCTATCCCTGCGATAAATTTTGCAACCATTGATCGCAAGACAAAGCTAGCTTAAACCAGGCCAAATGGCACATCTTGCTCCCCATATCCGTATTTAGTAAAACTTTGATGACTGAACTGTCCTAGAGATAATAAATTGAGATGTATTCACCCTATATCGTTTAAGGTGATGAAGGACTGGTAGTAGAATTTTCCCAGTGATGAGTAGAGCTGGCGTTTCTATTAATTTCACATAGCCCTGCATTCCTAAAAGTTATTCTCATCAAGGGTGTGCTGCAGTTTCGACCTCGCATAGATCTTATTATTACCCCCAGCGAGTGGGGAATCGTAACAGTGCAACATGTGAGCTTGACACGTTAACCACTCGGCCAGTGTCACAGGGCAGATGAGAATTTCAAGGAAAGCCAGGCCTTTACCCATGTCACATTCTTTGGTGGGAGTGTCGATGAAGCAAACGTATTTTTGTTATAACAATTGACTTGAAACTACTTATACACAAAGAATTAATTATGTTTATCTTACTTCGCCACAATAGCGAACCAAATCCAACGTATAGGCCAATAAATGAATGGTATGGGAACCAGACTGACAGGAATGCAAAAGAGGATCACTGCCAAAAAGGAGACCCGACCCATTTACCATTGAATCTACAAGGTCGACACTGTTGAGCACTAAATTCTCATTAGGAATCCTAGTGGAGGAATTGACGTTACCCGAGTGAAATCGAAACCACAGTTATTTAGGTGAGAATGTCTTATTGAGGTGCACTGAATACGGATTTAAAGCATTCACTTTAATATATCTTAGGTAATATAGTCTTCAGCATACGATAATTTACAAAATGTGGTAGCATTTAAATCTTTATACTTGATATTAAAGCCGAAAATTGTACAGACGGGGGAGCAAAAAGAAGGTAGAGACGAAGAGGTGTAGTTCAACTCGATTATACAGCAAGAAAAAAATCATAATGCAAAGATGACAAAAATTTAGCATTTAAAGTTTCAATAGCTAAATGAGATAGTTTGATTAACAAAACGATCACACTAGTGCGATTTTGCGTGATGGGCACAATTTTAGCCTTAATATTTTATATGCACAAAAGAAATGTGTACTTAATGGGAAGGAAGATAGGTGAAAATAAGTATACATATAAATTTATATGCACACGCACGTGTGCATAGATGTGCATATAGCATGAGGCACCTAGAACGTATAGATGAACGAAAAAGGCTTTAAATTAATTAAATGAATCATTCCAATAGAAGGAAGATAAATCGAATATAATCAATATACGTAAGTGACCCAAGTTTAGTGAGTTCGCAGCTCTCCTATTTTATATGGACGTAGATATAGCAATAAATGGCACAGAAATTATGCCCACAAAGAGGAAGAAGTATGATCTAAAAAAGAACAAAAACTGTTAAAAGAGAAGAATAAGGTTAAATGAATATAGCTGGGATGAAGATTAACAAGTGATATCAAGAATAACGTGTATTGGTAAATGATAGAAAAATTAAAAATATGAAGGAGGGCCCAATTAGACAATTAACGTAGCCACACTAATTTAACGGACTAGGGACTGATATCATCTGCCTAGAGAAAATGTAGAGAGATAGATCACGAGCTGACAATCACCAACTAACCTATAAGCCCTTTACCGACGCCGGAATCTTTCTTTCCGTCCTACTATAAAAGTTGTCTTAAATATTTTATAGTCTATGTCTCTACACCGATTTAGCTCAATCAGGTGACGTCGAACATATCCTCCCAGTCTACATTTTAGCCTACTCTCAATCACCTGACCTCAAGAATTGAGATCGACTGCACCAGGTCTCACACCAACATTCTCACCTTAATCCTAGATGATTCATGGTCAGCATAAAGCTCAACCTACATGCCCAGACTCACGCTGACTGTAAGTCAACAACACACATTCAGACAAAACAGGCTTTAGAGAATATATGGTTTAATAAACTACACATTTGACAGTCGATCTGAGCCCGATCAGAATCTATCCCTTCACAGAAAGCTGACATTAAAGTCCATGTTAATCCAGTAAAAACTAACAGGATCAATTTCTTCACGAGTCCTTTCTCCTTCTCTGTGTAGATACAGTTTGTTTAAAAAACCGACCATCCTTTTTTGGTCAAAATGACAAAAATTAAAATAAGTCGATATTATATATAAGATAGCTGTATTTTTTTAAATTATTTTACATTTCTGTTTTTTAATAAGTTTAATTTGGACTATTTTGTATTTTTAAACTTTTTTGTTAATAAAAACGCACCACTAGTTATTTCATATTCTGTTGATTCATCTTCGGCTTTATAAAGAGCAATAGCTCGTTTTTGGAAACTTTCAGGCAATCCCATTGTCATATCCGTGGTTATTTCTGCCCAAGACATCATAATTGCATCTTAAAGTTCATTGAAATTTTTAGGCTGTGTAATTTCCTACACTGCCTCTGGGAAACTAAATCGAGGCAAAAGCCGTAATTCTCGTGGTCAAGCCAATGCTTTATGGACCACGTCTATGGTAAAACAGTCTGAACCAACTAGCTCTAATCTCCGCCGCATCTATCCTCTATATTCGTAATACCAAATCTATGACTTCCTATGCCCTAGTCTCTTGTGTGCCAACCCACAAACATTGTGCTTCAATAT